CGAGGTCCGTATAAGCAGATTGTATCAAATTAAACACTCCCGTGTCAGCGTTAACAAACAACCCCGCAATCAAATGACAGCATGAATAGGAAGTAACATTTGGCCAAAAGACTTTAGAGAAAAGGAAATATTGTAGTCATAACAACGAATATAAGACAGAAATTACGAATCTTTCACACAAGCATTTTGATCCTTTAGCAGTAATCTCTCAAAACACCCAAAAATACAACACCACCAATAAGGAGTTCCGATATGCCCAAGTGACTGATCAAAGCAGAAAGAATAGTGTTCCCAATACAAGAGAAAAGATAGATATATGCTCGTGAAATCAAATGCGGAGAGGAATATGTGCACACACACAAGAACAGAGAGATAGAGAGATAGAGAGAAAGAGACGGAGATCGAACCAGTTCCTCCATCACCGACGAGAACGAGCTTCAAGCTCGCCGCTGAGATAAGAAAAATACCTAATCCGACGGCCGTGTGGTGGCGGGTGAAGCGTTCCTCGACTCGCGTTGTTTGGGCCAGAAGCATGGGCCCAAATACCAGTCGAACATCGCGCCTTGCGAGTCGCAAAAGAGTGGAAAACCTGATTGACGTCTTTATGATTCGCGCTCGACGATGATCTTGCGTGCCCACTGATGCTTCCAGACTTCCACATGTGCGCCCCACGCGTCATCGATATGATCCATCAACCAGAAAAGGAATATGGAGTAGAAACTAAAAAAGGAAATGATAATATGTCGAATAATTTAGCAGCTAAGCGCGTTGACTGCCGAAAGATTTGGTTAGCCTCGTGGATTACATCAGGAGCACGAGAGCAGACGAACTTGGTCAACCCGACAGGAGATCAGTGATATGATCATAAAAAGGAAGAATAAAAATGGGAAGGGAACACCGACCGTTTCCCGACAGCTGTAGCCACTTGTTTACGCGGACGTGGAGATGGGGCCCCACCAGACAGTTGCAAAGGTCAACTGGCTTTTTGTCAACCCCAAATCGCCTCCTCTTTTCTCGAAGTATTATTAGATTTAATATATAAATCAAGACAATTTCATCTAAGTTGCTTTCATGTGAACAATTAAATTTTTATGATTTATTTTTACGGAAAAATGATTGCCTGGTGCACAAGCTTATAACAATTATTACTTGGCGAGGCGTGCTTGTAAGCGTAATGTGTCATCATAGCACACATAAGTCCTTCCTCGAGCACCTTTCTCTCTTTATTTAAACGCAGCATCACGAGTTTCCGTGGCATGTCAAGTAAGCATGCATGCGTTCGCACTCTCCATCATAGTGTATTCCCACCATCAAGCCTGATAAAGTCGATTGTAGAATAGGAAAGAAATGACAATAACATGAATTAGTGACTCTAGTAATTGACTAATATAGATGGCATTTGATGTCGCAATTAAGCATATGATTTCTTAGATTATTCCTTAAGGGTTGGTTCTCCCAAGATTACGAAGATTCGTTTGTTATCACAAACTTAACTGGTTTTACCTATGTTGTTTGGCAATATTGTGTGTTCATCCGTAAAATGTTAATCTCATTGAAACCTCTTATGGTCTTTTACGGACCCTACAAAAGAGATGACGGATTAAAGAAGATATCTAATTCGGGATCCACAAGTAGTCATTTCAGCAAATACTTAATAGGTAATACAAATTATAAATATAGATCTGAATGATCACACAATAAGGTGATCCACTACAATCAAAAAGTGCCCATATGACACTGTTACATAATAAAGCAATGAACTAATCGTAAACACTATCCCAAAGGATCATCTAATTATATGTCACATAGGTAGCTCTTGGGTGCTATAATAGCTAACACTCAATACCGTAGAACTAAAAAACCCCCAAAATGACTATTTGAATGGTTTGTTTCTAGGTAATTTTATCTTTACACAACGACTGCACACAACATATGTTTACAAGCCTAAAATGACCACTAGAAGCCAAATAAAATGGGGCTGGCTTATTGTAAGCTCTCTACATGCTATACAAAGCATAAACAAAATCAAAAGATATGGACATACATGAGCATTATATCGAACACTTTATTTATAACTTTGTTTGTCATATTCTCCTCCTCTTATTCCTCTAATTCTCTCATTGAATCTTTTGTGGATGCTGCATCACCTTTCCTTTATTGAATATTTAATCTTTTACTTCGATTGCAAGGTGTCTCTTGGTTTCCAACTACATTCCGTCATTGTAGTTGAGTAGTCAAACTTTGATCTACCATGTTATTTTCAACTCCCCAATGACTCTGACTCTAGTGTGGGATTAGCCGAGTTATGTTAATCCTTGTTAGTTCTTACGGATCCTTCAGATGAAAGAAAAGACCTTTATTATTATGCGTTAGTCTCTTAAATGTCTCATGTCGCTTGGACTACATGGATGCCTGTTGGAGCTTTAACGAGCATTGCCTCATAGACTTTCAAATTTTTTGGATATTTTCTCTACAAAATTTGTCAATCGATTCCTTTTCTACTTAGTTATCACCTTTAAGTAAGTTCACATTATTTCTACTTTCAATTAGTATTGAAGCAAATAGTCTACTCTCGATAACACCGATCACCATTGGTGAAGATTTGATTTCTTATCTTCCGTTAAGTTTCTTTGAAGGGTCTTTAAATCTATGTAAAACTCTTTTACTAGAAAAATAAAAGAACTAGAGAACTTGATATTGTCCATTCTCTTAAGAGCTGAGAAGGCAAGTGTTACTCAGCTTCGCTCACCTCCTCGAGGGTTATACTTCATGCATCGAGCTGGTTACTAGCCTTCATCTACTCTTTGCTCATACTTCTGAAGTACTTGAAATATTTACACTCCTTACATTGAATTAGCTATAGTGATTTGCTTTATTATTGCCATCGAACCTCTAGAATTGTACCATCTTCTCTATCATTTATATCACATACTCTTATGAGTAGAAAAGGTACAACACAACATATTACCTACTTTGTTCTTTAGTCGAGCACTCTTGTATCAACCCGAAGTCTTCTACTTTTGGCTATTTTGATGAGATACCTATTGACATCGATTACGAAATTTACTAGCCTTTATCCTTTAGTCTTGTTTTGGTACTTAAAGTTTACCTCTATATTTTATACCTCTTAGGCCCCTTTCACGACTAAACGCTCTCCCTCCATGAGAGCAATAATCGATGACTCTATAAAAGTCTCGTCTCTATAGTACCATGACACTATCATACCCATGGCCCTACTATCCGTCTCCTTGCATCTACGTCCATTTCTTTATGATTAGTAGATCCGCATTTATGGTATTATGACACTCCTCCGAGTCCACCTCTATCTTAATTGATGCTTGGTTTTGGGTAGTTGAGTCTTTTCGGACTCGCTTCCTCACCCTTTTCAGCCACCTACATTAATACAACTGTGTTATACAAGTAGTTCCCTTTAGTTGATGGAAAGATAGACTACAATTATCATACATGACCTCAACCATCATGTTATAGGACTCATGTCGATTTTGTTCTTCTTTACTCCCTTTAGTAATGTCCACTTACTCGATTTTGTCCTTTGACTTGTCAAACTTCTTTAAGCGAATATAAGCTTTAGACCAATCAAACTCTCTAATTGCTGTAATCATCAACCCCCCATATGGGACTCATTAGTATTTACACTTAAAATTTTTACTAATACTTCTTTTATGTATATCATATTTGTCTCGAATTGATCTACCATGATCCGTTGCACTATATTGCCTTCTATTGACATCTCTATTGCATTCTAATATTTGTGGGATGAACTTAGACTATAATCTCTGCTAGTTACAAGTGTCGTGTAAGCTAATCACATGAGTGATGACACATGCGACACGCTGCATAATCTGTTTGATTATTATTATTATGATATTATTTTATTTTATATTAGATAATAAATATATATCGGTTGGTTAATTATACTTCATCATCAGACAACAATTTCATAATCATAATCATGTATCTAGTCTTTAGACTTAAAACATTAAAGATGTCTTATTTGATTACTTCGTTCTTTGATACTAGATTTATAAGTTTGGAAGTCCCAAATTTAGTAAAGACGGTTATTGAGAACGATATATATATATATATATATATAATATGCCAAAATGAAATTAATGCTCATGACTTGTATGGATTTCTTCCTGTAATAAGTCTAAGGTTACGATATGGATTGTGATTGAAAGCAAAAGGGATATCGAGATTTGTCCAAAAACCGTGAGTGATTGGACAAGAGCCGATCGCCAATCATTTGAGGCAAACCAGATAGGTATGAGTGCATCGAATACGGTCTTTAATTCATATCCTCTTTTAATTTACAATCAATCGTGTACACATCATCCATCCCCAAGTTGGATAAACCCTCGTTGACTACATTCTTCAATAATATCAAAAAATCAATAAATAAAAGAAGGCGGCTTCATTCTTGCGGCGTAATGTAATGATGAAAAATGATCTTTGACTTTTCGGATTCAACCAACCAGCAGCAACTTATCGTCCACGGCAAACAATATTATGTGAATTTTTGTTTCCTCTTTCATTTCAAATCATTTTTGGGTACATGGCCGGCAAAATGTAGGCATTTTCATATGTTTTTATTTTTTGGTCCTCTAATTATATATATATATATATATATATATATATATGAGAGAGAGAGAATATAACCAGAGAGGAAAGCGAATGTCGTGCAGTCGTGAAGGACTTCTCAAAACCGTTCATCAGTCTTTGTTTGAATCTCAGCCGTTCATATATCCAGATAAAAAGAAATATTAAAAATACGAAGGTCGTTTCAAAACCGTTCATCCGCGTTTTTCTAAAAATCTCATCCGTTGGTATATTTAAATAAAAAATAAATATATAAATGTTTAATAGAATTAAGATTAAGATAAAAATGGGATGAAATGAAAAGATGAAGAAGCTCGCATTCCCACAAACAAATGATAAAAGACCATGGCCAGCTGGGAAACTGGCCTTATAAATATCGAAGGAACAGCCGCCTTCCCCTTCCCAACTGAAGCCCTTCGAATCCTCGCCTTCCCTTCCTCCGATGGAGATCATCTTTGGGCCTTCCATCTTCGGATGATGAGGAGAGCGTGAGTGAGAACCATCAAAGCATGGTCTAGAGAGAGAAAGAGAGTGTGGGGGAGGAGTGGAACAACAGCGATGGCGGAGAGGCGGAAGTCAGGGTTGTTCAACGTGTCGGTGCCGACCAGCTGCTTCCAGGAGGCGGAGAGGGAGCTGTCGAGGGACGGCAGCCATTACAGTCTGTCGAGTGGCATTCTCCCCTCCCTCGGCGCGAGGAGTAACCGTCGGGTCAAGCTCCGATCCTTCATCGTGTCCCCTTACGATCGAAGATACAGGTGTTGTTCTCGCTCCTACTGCTTCCCCCAAAGACCGTGAGATATGGAATTAGCTAATGATTTGTTGAAATCGAGATTTCTTTTGCTTCTTCTTTGGGAAGATCAAGAAGGAAAGAGGGATGTCTTGACGCACCTTTTTCTTTTGTTTGCAAGTGTGCTCTTCCGTGCCGTTTCCTTTTCGTGGTTGGTAGGTGGTCAGATGTGTGATAAAGGACAAATTTCTCCCCAAATCGATTGGTGTGGATATGGATTTCTTTCGGAGTCATTCGTTCGTTTGCCTTCCTTTTGAGCTTTTCCACACGAACAAGGAAATGGAGTTGTGCTTGTCCGCTTAATCCTTTTGCTTTCTTCTCTGTGAGAAGGAAAAGGGAGCAGTGTGAAACTAGAAATTTTATCTGTGAGCCTTTAGTTTTGTATTCATTGCTGATGTTACAATTGTTTCTTGCAGAGCATGGGAGACTTTCTTGATCATTCTGGTCATCTACTCTGCTTGGGTATCTCCTTTCGAGTTTGGGTTCCTTGAGGATTCAAGGGGCTCTCTTGCCCTGGTAGACAACATCGTCAATGCGTTCTTTGCCATCGATATCATGTTGACCTTCTTCGTGGCCTACCTCGACAAAGCAACCTATCTGCTTGTCGACGATCGTAAGAAAATAGCTTGGAGGTACTTGCACAGTTGGTTTATTCTCGATGTTGCCTCCACAATCCCTTCTGAAATCGCCAGAAAAATGCTGCCTCCTAAGATCCGATCTTATGGATTCTTCAACATGCTACGGCTTTGGCGTCTCCGGAGAGTCAGCGCACTATTTGCTAGGTTTGTCTGTGGTGCTTGATGCCGTGCTTTTAGGCTTCAGTCGGTGGCTTCGTTCTGAAGTAATATAGATTGGCACCTGACTGATGACTGCTTATTTTATTGATTTTACAGGCTAGAAAAAGATAGGAACTTCAATTACTTTTGGGTTCGATGCGCAAAACTTATTTGTGTAAGCAATTTCACCTTCAAGTGGTGGCTTTTCTGTGCATTTCCTTGTGTAGAACTCCACTGATAGTCATTTCTTTTTGATCTCACAGGTAACAGTATTTGCTATTCATTGTGCTGGGTGCTTCTATTTTCTTCTTGCTGCAAAGCATCATGATCCTAGCCAAACTTGGATTGGTGCTTCCATGCCAGATTTTCATGAGCAAAGCTTGTGGATCCAGTATGTAACGTCAATGTACTGGTCAATCACCACCCTTACGACGGTCGGCTATGGTGACTTGCATGCTGAAAATATTGGGGAGATGATTTTTAACACTTTTTACATGCTCTTTAACCTTGGATTGACAGCCTATTTGATTGGTAATATGACCAATTTGGTTGTTCATGGCACTAGAAGAACTAGAAAATATGTAAGTTCTTTCATGAAAAATTGTGCTGCTCCATAAGCAAGCAAGAAGCTGAATTTGCAGTTGATATTTAATCTGTCTATGTTATTAAGGATGTCTCTTGGATTGCAGAGGGATACTATTCAAGCAGCCACAGGTTTTGCACAGAGAAACCATCTCCCTGAACGGCTGCAAGACCAGATGATCTCACATCTCAGTTTAAAGTTCAGGACTGATTCAGAAGGGCTTCAGCAGCAAGAGACTTTGGATGCTCTTCCAAAAGCAATCCGATCCAGCATTTCTCACTATTTATTTTACTCTCTTGTTCAAAAGGTGTACTTGTTTCAAGGAGTTTCTCAGGACCTGCTGTTTCAACTGGTAATGATTATAAATGTCAGACTTTCCCGGGTTATCTCAGTTTTGCTGCTACATGAATGTTGCTCTCACATTGGCATCCTTTCGTTGGTTTGTTTGAAGGTCTCCGAGATGAAAGGTGAATACTTTCCTCCAGGGGAAGATGTGATCTTGCAGAATGAAGCACCTACAGATTTTTACATACTAGTGACTGGCACTTTGGTAAAGAAATTTCCTTTTTCAGAAGTATTTTACTGTTGAATCTAGGATCACAGACTAAAAAAATGTTCTCTATATATTATGTTTCTAGTAATCCTTCTTAGTTGCCACAATGCTGATACATGGACTTGCTTTGCAGGAGGTAATAAATCACAAGGATGAAAAAGAGGCAAGTTGTTTGATTAACTCCCCTAAAAATATATTTACTTGATTTAGTGATTATAAATAGTATCATTGTATAATCCATGATACTAAAGCATTTACATAATAGTTTTCTGAAAATCTTGTGCATATTCTGCAGATTGTTCAGGTCGCAAAAAAAGGTGATGTACTTGGAGAGATTGGGGTTCTTTGTTACAGACCTCAACTGTTCACAGTGCGAACAAGATCGCTGTGCCAACTATTACGTTTAAACCGAACTGTCTTCCACAGTATCATTCAATCGAACATCGGGGATGGAACAATAATCATCAATAACTTTCTACAGGTTAATATATGATAGTACAATTTATCGGATAGTTATAAAATCACCTTTCACCACTTAAGTGTTGCGTATTTGGTAGTTAATATATAACATTAATATTAAGTATTACTTATTATTACGCACTATTCTGATACAACTTTTCATGGTACAGCATCTCAAGGAGCAGGTAGATGATCCTTTGATGGAAGGACTTCTAAGAGAAACAGAAAGCATGCTGACCCATGGCCGATTGGATTTGCCTCTTACTCTATGTTTCGCAGTTATCAGAGAAGATGATTTGTTGTTACGTCAACTGCTAAAACGCGAATTAGATCCAAATGAGTCAGATAACAATGGACACACAGCACTGGTCTGAATATAATTATTTTGACATCTCTAATCTTCATTCATTTATATTATCTGAGATAACCAGAGGTTGACTTGATTTCATTCTTTTGTAACATTTAGCATATAGCAGCATCAAAGGGAAATGAGCATTGTGTTTGTCTCTTGCTAGATAAAGGGGCAGATCCCAATCGTAGAGGTATGCTGCAAACTTGTTCTTAAACCTTGCAAGTTATTAGATTCATAGTTCCTCTGCCATGGTATTATACGCATGTAGAATTTCACTTCATCAAAATGGTGTGCCTATCCTTTGAGGTACCAGCATCATATTAGTTGCAAAAGTTAACGGCTCGACAAGCTTTAGACTTTTGCATTACAGAATTCTATCATCAAAAGGGTGTCACTATCCTTTTCCCTTTGCAGACTAAACAATCATATTTAACTGTCATATGCATGCAAATTCATACGTCTTCCTCTTTCTAATTATTCGGTTGCTATTTTTAATTAGGCATGATAATGATCCCATGACTTCTCACTGGCATCCTCATTCTTGCAATGCTTAGTCGCCCTTAATTATGCCTAGAAGATAATTAGATTCGCTGGTAGTGAACTTTTAAACAGACCATCTTATGCTTGTTTGGTTGTCTTCATTCATATATAGACATGTTTTACTTACCCTATTGTTGCTCTAAGCCATGCTTTGCCTGCACGTTTCCTTTGTATATGCTACTAGGCTATCATGAACCACAATAGTGTAGTCGATCTTTTTGAGTAAAACTAATGATCCTTATTATATCTTTTCAGTCAAAGAAATTTGGTGTTTAAGTTTGAAACTACAAGATTGCTACATTTGAAACGATTGCTACAGTAAAACTTCATATGCATGTAAAACCCAATCAAGTTCTACAAACTTGAATTCAGTAACATCGTTCACAATAATTTAGAGTTCATGACTCAAATGCCTTTTGACTATCCTTATTTGCTGGTCAATCATGTAGTAGTATGCACCATGACTGCGAGGATCTAATTACTTTCATCTAAAATTCAAAGATCACCTCAATGTAAACCTGCAACATCAGCTTCATTTCTTCTTGGCTTTATTTCTGCTTGCCAATATGTGTACCATAAACATGAAACAGATTCAGAAGGGAGCGTTCCTTTGTGGGAGGCCATCCTCGGGAGGCACGAGCAAGTGGCAAAAGTACTCAGAGAGAACGGTGCACAACTCTTGTCCGGCGACATGGGCCTCTTCGCCTGCACGGCCGCAGAGCAGAACAGCCTAGAGCTGCTCGAGGACATCATCCGGTACGGAGGAGACGTGACGGCGGCGGCCAAGAGGGACGGTAACACAGCCCTCCACCGAGCCGTCTGCGATGGGAACCTGCAGTTGGTGGAGTTTCTGCTCGAACACAGAGCCGACATGGACAAGCCAGACCATCAGGGCTGGACTCCCAGGAGACTGGCGGATCAGCAAAGCCACGACGAAATTAAAGCCCTATTTGAAGGCAAGAAAACCTCGGATCCCATCTCTGGCGCACCGCTCTCCTCTGAACTGAGGAGGTTGAGCAGCGAGCCCATCGTACCTATCGTGGCCGATGCGATCAGGCCGCCATCGCAGGACGGGCCGCCGGAGAAGAGCGAGCGGGCACGGCGGGCCAACTTCCACAACTCGCTCTTCGGGATCATATCAACTGCCAACTTCGGCAGGACGCAGGGCCACAGCGGCATGCTCTCGTCCGTCGCTGGCCCTCCGAGGCCAATGCTTGGCGGCAGCGGCAGGGGCCGTGGAAACCAACAGCGCATGAATCTGCTGCGGGTAACGATCAGCTGCCCCGAGCGGGGCGAGGCAGCGGACAAGCTCGTGCTGCTGCCGGATTCGCTGCAGGAGCTCCTCGACATCGGGTCGAAAAAGTTTGGCTTCTCGGCAAGCAAAGTGCTCACGGCGGATGGCGCCGAGATCGATGACGTGAAACTGATAAGAGATGGTGATCGTCTCGTTCTGGTTGGGGGAGGTTCCGTCGCGGCCACGAGACATGATTGAAACACGCTTCCTCAGTGAACTTGCTATGTTACGAAGACCGCATCGTCCATCACGTAAAACAGGAACTCAACCATTGAGCAACCTGACCTGAGCTTGCTGCAGTTCTATGAGCCACTTCAGCAACACTGGGTCTCTTCTCCTTTTTCTTTTTCTTAAATGCTTCACGATGGATGTAAGGAGAGTTGCAGAAGAGTTGTATCTCGTCCTTCCCTTTCTGTCTGTACATGGGAGTCGTCAATATGATCGATCTTGTTGAAAAATATTTCTCATTCAGCTTATGAGCTTTTCAGTTATTTTGACACTCTTCAGGAAAAAAAATCAAAGAAAATAATGCTGGATTGATTGGACATCGCTACTCTAACGACCGTCTGTCACGAAACACGGCAATGCGCTGCACCTTCCACCGAACGATGACCGCCGTCCACCATAAAGGCGTAGCTGTCGGGACGGGAACGGGGCGCAGGAAAACTCATCTACGTCGCTACGCGGGTCCCACAGAAGGGTTGTTATCACAGGCAAGTGAGAGCTCACTTTCCCTGTGCCCTACCTGGACTGAGACAGCTGAGCCGCACGCCCTGGTCCACCGTTGCCGCCCGTGCATATAAGAAGGGAAAGGAGGGCGTCGAAGGCAGCCGAGAGGCGACACTCGACAGAGGACGGAAGCGGCGAGACATGCAGCCCGCTTCGCTCCTCCACATCCTCCTCCTGATCTCTCACCTTGCTTCGGCGGTCCCGGTCGATCTCCACTCCCACGGTAACACCGCCAAACCCAGATTCACGTTCTTTCTCTTGAATCCTCATGTGGCTGGCGTGCTTCCCGTTCTTGAATCGGTCATTTCGAGATCGATCTCGTAGCGTAATTTCTGAGTCCTTGGTTCTATCTAATTCGTTTTTCATTTTCTGCTCGTCTGACTGTTAATTGTTGGCTGTTACTAGATCGGTGCCAGTTGATTTTGGCAACTCCACTCGACATTAAGATCCAGTTGTATCTGTAAACTAGTGTGATTTTGTTGTATGTTCCACTTGTAAAAACAGCTGATTAGTCTGCAATAATTGGTGATTTTTGTTTTGCCTGGGGTCTAGTGTTCATCAGGATTAGGATAATTTGGGAGCGTTGATTGGAAGACATCTTCTTCTTATCAAATTGCTGTTTGAAGGGGGTTTACAAGCTTTGCCTCCACGTTATTCTAGAAACTTAGCAAGTTTGTGTTTTCAGTCAAATGATCGGGGTTGGTGTTTGTTGGTCAAGGACAATTTCCTCTATCCATCTAGTTATGCGCTATGGCTTCACCTTGAACTTGTGCAATGCCTATCGATAGCTTTAATTTCATCATCTTTTTGTTGTTTCCACCTATATATATGACAATTCATTATGTTTACTAGGTGAAATAGATTGGTCGGCCAACGCATATGTTGTTTCTACTTAAATTGCAGGGTGCTTCTGGACTGAATCATGTCAAAGCAAATGGGTGGGTGGATGCAGTGCAGGGCTTGTGGTAGTTGATCGGTCAGATAATTGCAATGGTCTCTGTGGAGAATCGAAATTTCCACCATGCCTTCCCTTTCATACACATTTTCATTGTTGTAAACCAGGTATCATTGCCCCCTTTCTTCTTTAACTTTAAGCAAGCTGTTTACATCCTTCAACTTCATGGTTTAAAATTGATTGAATACCATTTCAAAGAATACTTCAAAGGAGAACATTAACGTTTGGTCCCATGTCTTAACCTTTTTATAAACATATCTGATGCAATTTCAGATTCATTGCAAATTGAAAGTTGAGGCAGAGAGTTTCTTTGTCCCTTGAAATCACTGTGATGCCAAACCTGCAGTTTTACCATTTTCATATGACACCTGGAAATAGTTCACAACATAGATCACGTGTCTAATCTTTAGTAATTATTGAGATAGGAGACAATAAGCAGGTAAAGGATAGAGATACTGTCTTCTTTCTGAGAGGTTTATGTCTAATTTTGTCAATGCCGGATCTCCATTTATGTGATACTGGTGGTTGACAAACCTGCAGTACTTTTTGGCAATATTACTTCTGGATAGTGCCCTCTTATTCTTTGATAATGTCCTCAGTTAGCTCATGAATATCTTCACCTGTCTTAGTTGATAAACAGAGGCGTAGTTCCATCCTTCACTCAGAAGGGGTAATTCTTACGATGAAGTCCCTCTCTCTTGTTTGTTAAGAGGAGTAACTCCACTAGTCAGACGATGAGATCTAAAACCATTTTAAACAGGCATTTTAGTCAAGACCATTATCTTATGTTTCTTGAAAATAAACTGTAATTATTTTTACTTTATTAATGACCAACAGGATTGTTTCTGATAGATTTGCGTTGGTCTTGTTATAAACCACATCCATCTTTTCAATGAAATCATACAACCACTTCCCCAGATGAAGAACTGTTTAAAGATCACAATCTTCTTCATTTAGAGATCCATCATCTGCTATTTCGGTGTTGGACCAACATATCTTGATGCATGCTACCCTGCATGGATAGTTTCGCAGATTGGAAGCTACAGTTGATATTTTAGTGTTGGACCAACCCAAGGAAACAAATATTTAAATTGCTTGTCAGTCCTCAAGGAGATGTCCAGAAAATTGGTCTCATTTTAATGCTTATCCAACAGCTTCTATAGAATGAGCCTTAACAGCATTGGTCGAGAACGTATAAATTCAGCATGTTAGTTGTAAGACAGTAAATCCATTTGTATGGGTCCAATCCTTGCATGTTCTCTATGGTACTAATGGGGTGTTATCTGTGCTCTATGGTTGAATTGGTGAACATCCTCCCAAACATTTTGTAAAGTTTTACTGGATACTTAAATGGTTACTATGCTTGTCCTGGGCAAGCATAGACTTTGTTTTTCTTTTTGTTTGAATGCAAATGTGCCATATTGTGTGTTTGCCTCCTTGAAAACAACCTTACTGTTTAAATCCATATGTGGATATATTTTTCTCAGTGAACATCTTTGGTGCCCTGAGATTATAGTTGTTAGATGGAAATAATGTTTCAAAAGTATATTAAACTAAATATTCCTTGTCTTATGAGCAGAGAGCCCAAGGTTAACCAACAAGTGCACAATATGCAAGAACAAGTTAGACTTTGGTGACGAGTACATATGTTGCACTGACTGCTCGGATCCTTACCTCATAGAAAAGAATAGAAAATTGGGCTACTGTAAGACTGGTGCAGTGCTGGCAGTGCAACTAAAGCCACAAGGTAGCTATCCTTGTGTATTTTATCCCCTTGTTTGTGCCACCATGAACATCCACAGGGTTGTTCATAATGGAAATGCAATAATGCATTTTGTTATTGATAAGTAAAATTTTCATCTCGATAGGTAAACAAATTACTTCCGTTTTCATGTCTAACAAGTTAATAATAATGGAAGTGGTTTCATCCATTGTTAAGATGCAACTTAATACCTCTACAAATTTCAGAAGTTTTCAAGTGGGTTGCTGGGCCATGGATGAAGTGTTCTTCTCCCTGTGATGGTGGAGTTCGTTATAGAGATGTTGGTTGCTACGGAAGCACTGATGATCCATCCATCAAGCACTACCCTGTGGATGACAGTAGGTGTTCAGATCAAGAAATGGTGAGTCAAAATGTTTCTCTGATAAATTATTTACACTTGATCTGCAAAATCTTTAATAAACTCTTTGTCTCTTCTTGACATTATATAAATTGGATCGATAAAAAAGTTAGTCACCAATATACATGTTGGATTAGTCACAGATATCACAAAAAGCTCATTTGCTAGTTTGTGTTTGGCTCACAATCATTGAATGGGTTGCTGAATAACACCTCTATGGATTTGCATGTCTCTGAAAAAAGCCCTTTCAAACCAACATCTAGAAGCTCGGCCAATTGATTTGTTTTCCTTGACCTATGGAAAAGAAATTCTTATCATGTCATGTAATCCAAGCTTCCTTGACTAGAACTTATTAATTAGGGCTCTCATAAGACAAATAAGAGAAATATTTACGTATCTTCTTAAGTTATATTTCTACACATGATATGACTTAAAAATATTGATCAGATGTCCCTAAATGTTACTTCCATAAGCTGTACAAGAATTAATGAAATGATCCAGGGAAACAAGAAACAAAACTTTTCCAGTTGTATGATATGTGATCTGTTGAGTAGAAAATTCATGTGCCACATGGATAGTAATGATCTTTCAGCCTTGATGCTCCCAAAAACGGATGCTTCACCATATATTGCCATAACTACTCTCGATTCTTCTCTTGTTTGTATTTCTGCCTTGTTCTTAATTCTTCTTTGTTCTTTCTGTTCTGCCAGTTTGATGTTTTTGGACTTGTCTACATGCCATTTTTATGACTTTGTTTTCTGCCTTAATGCCCCAAATTTTCTTAAGACTATATTTAGAGCAACATTTCTGTATGCTCCTAGGATTTCAGTCTGAGGTTATTCTTACCTAATAGTTGTTTTTATAAAATTCTGTCTGAATACAAACAATCTATTGTGTCTTCACTCATAAAAAAATGTGTTCTGCTGTCTAAGACCTTTTTACTTCATGATTTGATCAGGAGAACAACAATCTAGATAGTTGGTAACTTCTACTTAGCAAATAACAAGACACCAGCTTTAGAACCTTAAAAAATTGTACTTTTGCAGTTATTGTTAATCTATTAACCACTGGGTGGAGTGCAAATAGCTGACAATTATGATGGTTTAGAATATTTTTCAATATGAGTCTTACTAAATATATGAAGACATGAAAAAGCAAACAAAAAGTGTTAGCAAAGCAATTGATACAACTTATCTTCATGTTCTAATTTTTTTTCTTATAGTAATGCAACAAATCTACATATTTTAATTTCAATATCCATTTTAAAGGTTTGCTTGGAGTAACTGAAGATCTCGTGTTCTTGTGTACTGTGAGATCCCTTGCGTAGATCCCATAAAGTAAAAAAGACCTATTTACTGGTTTTAAATGCTATCTTGATCGTGAATAACACATGATGTTGCTTCTGGGGATTATGTATCTGTTGATGAAGAGAATATGGCTCTTAGTTTCTTTTGATTTTTGATGAAAAATGTTTGGAGAATGTTTTTGGAGTAAATTTAAGCTGGGGAAAGTTTTGTGGTTTGAAGGGTGCTTTAGTCCTCAAACCAGGTATTACAATATGGATATTGAAGCCTATCTTGTCTAGTAGCTCAAGCATTAGATGAATGAGCAGTGGTCCGAAGTTGGCATGGTTTCCGAGTGAAAGATTCTTTGTTCGAGTCTCCAGCGCCTGGCGATTTTCCTTCTTTCAATTTGAATTCCATGTCTTGAGCTTGGGTCATGTCATCTCACGTGATGGTGAGCTAAAGTATAGTTACTATGTCCTTTCATATCTACCAAATTAGGTTTTCGGATGACTTGGCTGTTGTCAAAATTGACACCACAGTACCCATCCTTAAGGTGAATTATTGGACTTTCTGATCATTTCATGATCCAAATAGATGAAACTATTGAGTTTGATAGTATCAGCTAAACTTCGGCCAAAATTCATATTTTTTAAAGTGTTGTGCGCGAAATGGCTAAATTAGAATGATTTTAGCTTTGGAACAAGGCTTCATGTCATAACAAGCAGAAAACTGGGGATTCCTCTGAAACTTTAGACTCGAGACTTGAAGCTCAAAATCTCGTATGATATTCATTTGTAGGTGCTAGGATGTATTATGAGCTAGTGCTTTCATGTGTTATGTCTAATTACTGTTCTTAATTGTTTTCAGCCCCTTAGGCAGGAGCCTTGTAATCTGCAAAGCTGTGGAGATTTGAGCATCAGTGAATCAAGTGACAAGCCAAGTGGGATGTCTGGGTGGTTAGTTGCTTTGCTTGTTATTCTTGGGCTTGTGGCTGTCGGTGGGGTTGGTTTTGCGGGCTACATTTGTTACAAGAGGTAATGATACGTTCCTTTCCTTCAATTTATGGTGCTTTTTAATCGTTTAATGGAACATAGTGCTACTTGATAAAAACAGCAGAACCTTTTTTTTTTCCTTGTTTGGTGGCTATTTTATGTCTTGCCTATCAATAGTTAGTCACTAAGTAAACATAGCAGCTTTGGACCTTGGACACAAAAAAACTGTAGGTACCTAGTGGCATATGTTATTTGAAACAATACCCTGTGCTTTACAATTGGAATTGTATCTACCTAGAAGTTCCGAAGCCCGTGGCATGTCAATTCACTTTGAAATGCCACCACCCGCCATGCACTTTGATATGGTGTCATCTCTGTGGCAGGATGTACTGATTTGGCAAAACAAAAAAGCTGCTTGTGAGATACTGGCTCAATTATAGCTTTTATTATACTGGCTGGTTTCCTTTGGTTTGTCTAATAAGATGTAGAATTGGGGGAAGTTTTAGGAAGCTACAGATCATTTCGTCCATTTTCGGTTGTTTATCTTGCAGGTTAACATAGAGCTTGACTAGGCATTTATATCACATACATTCTTTGTTTGATATGAAGTTAATTTTTCATTTCTTTTTTGCTATTGCCAACAGGAGAACCTCGGCACCAAGTGGCTTTGTGTATATTATGCTGGAAGGGTATTCTTGAGATATCGCTTTCTTCGGAGTCATCCTTGAGCTGATAATTCATTTGTGTATATTATGCCAAAGGTTTGCGTGTGGAAACTGTGGTGTCAAACCGGAGCAGGTCAGTACAGTATGTCGTTGGAGTCCCATTTATCATATACGCATTGTGGTTTTCATGTTATGTTTTGATAAAAACTACAATGAAAATATCGATTCTTTTGGCAGAAAGTGTCTTGAGACTGATAATTTTACGGAAAGTGCAAATTTGATAACTGATACGATGCAAAAATGTAGAACAATACTTGGCAGCATGCATACATACCTGTTAAATTTTCCGTCAAATTCTTCTGTCATCCAAGATCAAGATTTTGTTTTCTTGACCCATCAAATGAAAAAGAATACCATGCTTCAGAAGAAGCACAACATATGTGGCCTCAAGTATAGCCACATGATCCTCCAGCAATCAGCTTTGTCTGGAGCACGAGGCTATCAAGAACCAAACAAGCAAACTCATTCTGCCGTATTGATCTATCCCCTGCAACGAACTCATGAACGACTCCATCCACCTCGATGGTACTGCACCCGGGGGACTTGGCTATTCCCTTGCATCCCATGAGACTTCTCACCTGTCCCACATCATCCCATCTACGAGCTTCGGCATACACGTTTGAAACAAGCACATGTGCCCCTTCATCATTAGGTGCTAACTTCATTAAATTTCGTGCAGCCCTCTCAGCCAGCTCCATCTTCCCATGGATCCTACAAGCCGCAAGAAGCGAACCCCATATCAGATTGTTTGCTGTCATAGGCATCTTCTCGATGAGATCAATCGCTTCCTCTATGAACCCGGCTCTGCCAAGTAAGTCTACCAAGCACCCATAGTGTTCGACTCCAGGAACAATACCATATGACCGAGCCATTAAATTGAAATAGGCAAGCCCCTCCTTCACCAACCCTGAATGCCCACATGCACCAATAACAGCCATGAGAGTTACGCCGTCAGGTCTCACATCTCTGAGTTCATGCATTTGATCGAAGAGGCCTATAGCTTCTCTTCCGCGTCCATTAGCCGCGAGACCCCCAATCATTGCATTCCATGTGTGGGCATCTTTGCAGCGCATTTCGTGAAATATTTGCAATGCAATGTCGATGCAGCCACATTTGGCGTACATATCCACGAGTGCATTCTGCAGACAAGCATCCTTCCTTACCTCATTTTCCTCGATATAAGCATGAATGCGTCTGCCCCAGTCGAGAGCTCCAAGCTGCGAACAAGCAGACAACAGACTGACCAATGTGACCTCATTTGCTTTTACTCGTGAAAGCCGCATCTCTTCGAAATGGCTCAATGCTTTTTTGTAGCAGTTTCCTTGCACGTAACCAGATATCAGAGCTGTCCACGAGAATACATCCCGCACAAGCATCTTATGGAAGATGGCCTCGGCCTCAGCCAGGTCTCCACTCTTGGCATACATGTTGATCAAGGAATTTCCAAGAAAGACGTCACACGTAATCATCTTGTCCTCCTCCTCGATGAAAGCATGAACAAGTTTCCCCTGCTGCAGATCCCCCAGCTGAGCACATGCTGACAACGCAGTAGCCATTGTTATCTCATCAGGCCTCGTGTAGCTGCACGTCATCTCTTGGAACACACTCAAAGCTTCTCTGCAATGTCCACTCCGGACGAAGCCGCCCATCAGGGCATTCCATGTTGCGGTATTTCTAGCGGGCATTTTCTCGAATGCATCCATGGCATTTATCGTGTCTCCGCACTTTGCATACATGCTCACCACGGAGTTGCCGACGGCCAAGTCACTCTCCCATCCGTGCTCCAAGATTCTCGAGTGAAGCCGACGACCCCTCTCGAGGGCTCGCGACTGGCCGCACGCCGAGAGCAGGCTCATTACGGTGACCTTGTTCGGCTCGACGCCGACCTTTCTCATCTCATCAAACAACCGGAAACCTTCATCCAGCTGATTCAGTTGCAGGTAACCAGAGATCATCGACGTCCACGACACCACGTCCTTGTGCGGCATTTCATCGAACATCTGCCTCGCGACATCAACCTTTCCGCAGCCGTTATAGAAGCTGATGATTCCCGACGTTACGAACATGTCCGAATCGAAGCCGCATTTCATGACCAGCCCGTGCACCGCGCTTCCGGTGGGAAGATTGTTGAGCTGCGCACAGGCTCTCGCTGTGGCAGCATAGGTGTAGGTGTCGGGCGAGGAGCCTCCGCAAGCCAGCAGCAACTTGAAAGTGGACAGCGCATCCCTGGGAGCACGATGATGCGTGTAACCCCTGATCATGGAGTTCCACATGAAGAGATTAGGATGGGGAATCTGGTCGAACACGCGACGGGCGTAGACCGTGCTGAAGAGGGCAGAGGGAGACGTGAGGAGCGCAATGATTCGGCTGACGGCGAAGGTGTCTTGTACGAGGCGAGTGCGGATCATTCGGGCGTGGATTTGAGCGAGCTGCTGCTTCGAGGAGCAGCTCTGGAGGAGGAGCAGGATGATGCTTCGATGGTCTCGAGAGATCCATGGCTCGTAGGTTGCGGGAAATCGCTTGGGTTCGAAGCAGAGATGGCGCATGTGACGTCGGTGTAGTAGTTGAATTGTGTTATTCACTTTAATGAGTTTTTATGCATCGCCGTCCGCTTATACAGACATCAAAAGCCTATGCTAATTGATGGTATGATATATGAAATAATTATAACAAAAAATATATAATTGAAATCTCTCTATTTTGTTGAGAAAAATTCTTCCTCCTAATCTGTATAAATAAGAGAGGGACAATTAAAATTACTTCACTAAAACTTCAAATCCTCCCTCCTAATCTAATCTGTATAAATAAGAGAGGGACAATTAAAGTTACTTCAATAAAACTTCAAATCCTCCCTTCTAATCTATATAAATAGGAGAGAGACATGTTAATATATTCAAGCTAAAGTTACTTCAATAAAATTTTTTTAATAATTATTTTTATCTTCTATTCTTTCCATCAGTTAGATATAATTTGATTTGGTCCCCCACAAACTTCTTTAATAATAGTGATTTGATATTCATAATCTATATAATTTCTTTAGATATAATTTGATTTGGTCCCCCATAAAGTTATACTCTCATTGAATATGTTAATCTTGGATTTTAGTAAAAGAAATCAAGATTTTATATGAATATCAATCGATCTATTATGTGTTGAAATATGAGATACTCGTAGATCTCCATTTGATATTTTATTCGAACCAAATGATAGTCAATAGCTATATATACTTCATTTGACATTAAAAAAATTAGATTTTAAATCATCAAGGTACATCACAACAAGCATGATTCCAAAATATGAAAATTTCAAATCATCATAATTTCTCTCCCTTTGTCATCAACAAAAATAAGAAAAGTGTAAGTGTTTTACTTCTTTTTGAAGTATGTAAGCTAGCAATTTTTTGAGATGTGCAAGTTAGTAATTTTTTGCTTATCTAGAGATGTGTTTTCTTTTAGATGCACAAGATAATAAGTTTTTTTTTTTTTGCTTCTACTTTTCGCTCCCCCTTTGTCATTATAAAAAAGGTAAAAGATACAATGGTGAAAAATTTACATCAATGGGAAGAACAATATGAAAGATATCAAATATAAGTTTAAATCATGAAAGATCAAGTCATGAATATAAAAAAAATCATGATTTATTTTGATAAATCTCTTCTTTTGTAAATAACAAGAAGAATGAATCAGAGTAAACGATCTTGATTCAAAAGAAAACAAGTCATAAAAATCGAGAAATCAAGATATGTGAGAAGAATTCATATATTTGGAAGATTCAACATGCATAATTCTCTTTTAATAAAATTAAATTATTCCTCATTCAATAGTTTAGTAAAAATATATGCTAATTGATGTTTTGTATTAATAAAATATAAAGATATATCATGATTATTAACATGATCCCTAATAAAATAATGTTTAATATCAATGTGTTTAGTTCTAGAGTATTGAATGAGATTCTTTGTTAAATAAATTACACTAGTATTATCATATTTTATAGAGATATTTTTTAAGTAATGTTTATAGTCTTCTAATGTGTTTTTTCTTCCATATTACTTGTGCATAACATGCACTTGTTGCTACATATTCAGCTTTAATTGTAGATAATACAATAGAATTTTGTTTCTTGGAAGACTAAGAAACAAGTGTATGACCTAGAAATTGACATATTCCAAAGGTACTTTTTCTATCTAAATCAACATTAGCATAAGCAATCAAATCAAAATTTTTAGATTTTGGATACCATAGACGTATGTTAGGAGTTCCTTTTAAGTATCTACAAATCCTTTTAACTGTTTTATAATGAGATTGTTTAGGATTGGATTGAAATCTTATACAAAGTCCAACATTAAATATTATATTAGGTCTAGTTATAGTAAGATATAGCAAGCTATCTATCATACTTCTATAAGTCTTTTGATTAGAGCATTCTCCTTCATTATCCATATCTAATTTAGTAAAAGTGATCATTGGTATATTAATAACCTTAGCACTATCCAAGTAAAATCATTTTAGTAGATGCAAAGGATACTTAATTTGACTAATAAAAGTTTCATCACTCAATTACTTAGTTTGTAATCATAAGAAAAAAATTCACCCATTAAACTCATTTCGAATTCTTAGCTTATATTTTTGACAAATGATTCACATAAAGATTAATTTGTAGAACTAAAAATAATATCATCAATATATATTTAAATAATAAAAAAATTATTTTAATAATATTTAATAAATAATGTGATATTGACCTTACCTTTTGAAAATTTATTCTTAATAAGAAATGAACTAAGTCTCTTATACCAACCGTTAGGTGTTGAATCTCAGATTTTGATGATGAAATCAATTGATAATGTTATGATCTAATCTATATTTTGAGTGATACAAGACTAGCTTCGATCAGGAGATGCAAATTGATTAAAGCAGAAAGAATAAAAAGTTAGGCTGGAATTGAACATGCTAGAAGATTGGACGTCAGACTAGAGGAATAGTCGATGTGTCGGTAAAAGACTTCGTGTCATGAATTTGGGCATCAGACCGAAGGATCGAACATTGCACCAAGGATATTAGTTGTTGTGGAGATCAACATGCTGATTGAGCAATACGTTGCAAGAGAGGATGATGCACGAAAGGTTTGGACGAAGCACTAAATGAACCAATGACATGCCAGACAACTTAGTATTCTTGCTTATAATAATTTGTCTAGACCGAAGTAGTTAAGAGGGCTAATTGAGTTGGTTTCGGGTGTAATTATGCCAACTCAATTAGGGGCCAACTAGGCTCGAATTGAGACTATTTTGCGCCAAGAGAAAGGCCCATTCAGTGACTTAAAAGTTGGATCAAGCGGTGGCACCACCGTAGGCTTAGTCTCCAAGACAATTTCTGAGACTGTTAGGCGGTAATACCGCTAGACTAGACGGTGGTACTACCTAGTGTCAGAGAGTACTAGCGGTGGTACTGCCAAGACTTGGAAAACCAAGGATGAGACCCTTTTTTACTCTATTTTTGAAGTCATTTGGGGTCTATAAATACCATAACTATTCCTACATGGACAAGCATAAATTTGAGCAAAAGAGGGGAAAAGAATAGTTGAGTAAAAATTATAATCTCTTTAGATTAGTGAGTTTCTTCCTCCTAGAGTTAGAAGGTTTCTAAGTGAGGAGTGAGGTCTAAAAGAGAGGTATAAAATTTTTCTCCTGAGCTTGCAAAAGGAGAAAGTATAAAAAGATAGTTGATCTTCGTCCTTTGAAGGAAGATCGGTAGTGGAAGATGGTGGCCTCGAGTGAAGAGGAATCAGAAGCAGATATAGGTCATGATGACCGAACTACTATAAATTGGTTTGCATTTCTATTTTGTTATTTACCTTTATTACAGACTACTTTACTTCCTCATTACTTTAGCTGCACACTCTTACGAATATTTTCAAAGTTAAACACTCCTTGATATGGTTTTAGTGTATGAAGATTTCTGACTCGACGTAATTTTTATGTATGCATCAATTCATCCGCCCTTTTAGTGTCAACTTGATCATAACAGTTGGTATTAAAGTCACATTTTTTCTTGTTTAGTTTAATGCTCAAGAGAAATGACTATTTTGGCTTTCAAGAGGGTCATTCTATCATTCATCCTCCTATGTTCAATGGGACATACTACACTTATTAAAAAACTCAGATGAGAGATTTTTTTATTTCATTGAACCTTAATTTATGGAATATCATTAAAAATAATTTTTAAAAGTCTTCTAATCCAATGAACAAATGGAATGATTTGGAGAAGAAAACTTTTTCTTTAAATAGGAATGCTATGAATGCTTTATTTTGCATCTTAGACAAAAATAAATTTAATAGTGTTTCTATTTGCAAAATTACGCATAACATTTGACACACTCTTAAAATCACATACAAAGGCATTAGTAGAGTTAAAGATTCAAAAATTAATCTTTTAATGTATGATTTTGAATTGTTTTATATGAAGTCAAGCGAAACTATTATTAACATGTACACCCATTTTACGGATGTCATCAATAGTTTAAAAGCTCTTGGCAAATGTTTTTCGAATCTTGAACTTGTTAATAAAGATTTACGATTTTTTCTAAAAATTGGGATTCAAAAGTAACTGCAATACAAGAGGCAAAAGACTTAAACAAGTTTCCACTTAAAGAATTTATCGGGTCTTTAATGACCTATGAAATGAGTTGTATGACACAAAATAAATATGAGAACTATCTTCCAAAAAATAGAAAGAATTTGATACTTCAAACAATAGAAGACCACTTGAGTGATAACTCAAGTGATGATGATGATGACATAGAACTCCTTACTATAAAATTTAAAAAGTTCATGAAACAAGAATTAAAGAATAAAAACAAACTTAAAAAGAATATAACTACTTGCTATGAACATAAGAAATCGAGGCACTCCAAAGATGAATATATAAAACTGAAGAAGTTGTCAAAAAAGAAGGAAGCACTCAAGGATGAATTGAGCATATCCGAAGACGAGGGGCAAATCAACAAAGGTATGTAACTCACAATGAGGTATGTAACTCACCTAAAATGTATTTACCTTACCATGAAATTACTTAGTGCTTTCATACTTTGATGAATTAGTTTTAAAAATATATATATCATGACAATTACATGTTTTATAATAAAGGAATAAAAATATTAAAATTAAATGTGATGCTTATACACTAAATAAGATTAATTTTATATACGTTTTAAGAAGTAATAATGTGTGTCTTGATGATTTTTATATTGCTTTTCGATTTTAAATATGATACATAGTTTTAAAATAAAAACTTGTGTATGCTTATATGAAATCAATTGCATGAATTGAAACAATAAAAAAAAAAGAAATTTTTTTTTGAAAACTTCTAACTCTCTATCTTATTGAGTTTTCATCATAGAGATCTTTAATGATGAATCTATTTTTGTTATTTATGAATCTCTTGAAAGTAATTTTGATTATTTTTTGATCTAAATCTTTCACTTGATACTTGAGATTTTTTTTTATGAATCAAGATCTTTGTTATCTTGAGAATTCTTTTCGTTATTTACTAAAATAGAGATTTATCAAAGTAAGTCATGTCTTTTGGTATTCATGAAGTGATCTTTCTTTATCCTTTATATTAATATCTTTCATGACT